ACCATTTTTCCATGGCGGCGCATGAAATACCTACCATTTTCGAATTCGAATTCCTGCTGCCGCTGCCGCAAGGGCATCACACAAAGATGTATGCCCCTCGTGAGGGCATTTCAAGGACGGACCAACCGACGAAACTCCACCAGCAGTCCAGTAAGGGCATATCGGAAAGTTACGCCGGAAGCCGGATGCTGACAAGGGCCTGCGCAAAATCTCAGAGGCCCAAGGGGCATAACAGGGTAAGTCGGCTTTCACAGGGGCACGCAGCAAATAGATGCAAAACTTCAGGGGCATTTGTAAGATTTTCCCTAAAAAGAATTGGGCCGGATCGTTAAGAAAGGACGAAGGAGAGCTCAGGTGGCTGCAGACACCACGAACGACTTAGTTCTTTCGTTCTTTCGTACTCCAGTCACTACTCGCGTTGACTGGAAAGTCAACGGCAGCAAAACACACCAAGAACGCGAAAGAGAGCGCAACAACATATATTCCGTCCGAGAAAAAGAAGGCGGAGAATAGAATTCGGGGCTGAGGCCCTGAGGGAGGAAGAGAAACATGGCGCCAAGATTGTGAGAGGGAGATTTAGGTAGTGGAAAACTGGGCGCAAGGGACACGTGGACGTTGAATTCGCGCGCGTAGGAGTGCAGATCAAATCATGCTCGTAAGCGTGATGTGAGAGCGAGCGACCGCGTCAAATATTCCTCCACGTGCCTCGGTGTGTGTGTGTGTGTGTGTGTGTGTGTGTGTGTGTGTGTGTGTGTGTGTGAGAGAGAGAGAGAGAGAGAGAGAAACAGAGAGAGAGATTGAAATCATAATAATCTGTGCTTGGCGGGTAGGTGGACTGCGGTTGTGACTGGAGTGGGTTGGCTTGGCTGGGCTTGGGAATGGCGTGATCTCACAAGGAGAGGCAGTTTGAGGGAAAGGAAGAGAACGAAATCCGATTATATTATGAGCTATCATGTCGCYGTCTCAACTAACACGCGGATCTGGTCAGCTCAGCCCACACACGGCTGCGTCCTCTTTCATTCGAGCGCTCGAGGGTATCGGTCTTATATTCCCTTTTTCCCTTTCTTGTATTTCCCAAGCTCCTTTTTTTTTCTTTTTTCTTTTTTCTTTCACCTCTCTCTCTCTCTCTCTCTCTCTCTCTCTCTCTCTCTCTCTCTCTCTCTCACACATAATAAACAAGGCATTGCGCACCTTTTCGCTCGAAGAGTAGTACAAAAGTGGAAACAGTGGAAAGTCGTTAATCGGACTGAGTGCGCCCTAAGTTGTCTTTATCATGCGTTTCTCTCTTTCAGAGTCTTTCTATGTCTGTATATCCGAAGTACTCGCCTCCATCATGTATCTGACTGCAACTAGCAGCATATTAGGCGGATGAAAGTGCGAGCGAGAACTCCATTTTGCGACCTCCATGCGGCGGGGGCATATGAGCAAAAAAAAAAAAAGGAAGGAGAAGACGGGGCGGGATGTGATGGTCCCCTCCCTGCCAGATGTGAAGGCCCTTCCTTCAAACCGTTTCCCCCCGTTTGCTTCCGTTTTCTCGGTGACGGCAACGGTATGGAAGAACAATGTCATTGGATGATTGGATAATGAGCATATGCTCGCACCAGTGTCCACACTTTCCTGGTTGTATCTGGCCGCAATTACGGCTCATGCTCGATTCGTGCCAACGACCAGATACAACGTCAGTACCGCTGAATTTCAGGAGTGGTATTTTTTTTTATTTTTTTTTTTTGCAGAGTGGTATTCTACGTGCACTACAGTCTTCCCCCGAATACAACGCGCGGTCATTATAGCTGAATTTGGTCGATCTTTCAGTCTAAATTCAGCTATAATGACCGTACGTTGTATTCGGGGGAAGAGTGTAGTTTAGAGAGAACATTCCAGAACAAAATTAAATATCGCCGTTCTTTGTTTTTTTTTCGTTTGCATGAATTGGTCAACCAATCTCTCTTTCGTTTCAATATAATATTATATTCAATATGCTCGGTAGCGTAACCAAAAAAAAGCCGAGTTTAAATGCGTCGAATTCCAGGCCGCTGTTGACGTGTCTTTTGAGACTCGGAGAGACAGGGAAAAAGATGGAAAGGTGGGAGCGGGAGGCCGTATATGCACAACCCGGGCTAGTTGACTTTTCCCCAAAAAAAAAACAAGCAAAAACGTTGACGTGAACACTAATTAGTCGGAAGATGGGGTTGACTCAAGTTCAGGAGTGTAAAAATTCCGCAAACGTTAGATTTAGCTTGTTATCTCCACGAATGGGCTGCGGGCCCGAGGCCCAAAACCAAGTCCCACAAACGCTGATCCTTCGTTTCTGCCCGCCGATCTCCAGAATCAACGGTCAGAAATGAACGATCCGGGTAAGTGGGACTCGAGCCCCGTTCACAAAATAACAGGAATTTGGACCATTTGGCAAAAACGAGTTGAAAAACAGAAACACAGAGAGAGAGAGAGAGAGAGAGAGAGAGAGAGAGAGAGAGAGAGAGAGAGAGAGAGAGTTAAAAAACAGAGAGACAAACTGGGAGTTTTTTCTACTGAGCTCTGGACGTAATTACGGTCAAATACACACAGGTGCGGCAAGAGATTCTGGTCAGATGCATCCAGGAGAGTCGTTGTGTGAGTTTGTACCCTTAGTACCTTGAATCGTTGATGGTGCTCAGTCGAAAGAAAAGATCTGAGGCAAAAAAAGAGGTCTCCGTGTGTGCGCTTTCGACCAATTCTCCCAATAGCTTTTCGGCCGTCGCGATGCATGATAATTTGTTCAGTTTGCTTTTATTAATTAAGTTCTAGAGATTAATGAACTTGACCGCTGACCTGAAGTGAAGTGACCTCAGAACTTTTTTATTTTATATACTTAAATCCTGTTGCTACCAGTGTGTCGGGACACCGGAGAGAGGCGTCGGGATCGACGGCGGGTGTATCAGTGTTTGGTCGTTTTGCGCCCCTCCTCGATGGACAGATCTGTGACTCTGTCTGAAATCAACGGAACGCATCAGATTCTTGTTTTGGCTTGTCATGGGGGGTGAACCAGCAGTATGTGGAGTTTTCCGTCTGGTGTGTGATAGCCTGCTTTGATTTCATCACAGGTAGGTGTACCTTGAGGGCAGTGGTTGGTGGTCCCCACTACCTCAGGGTGTCAGTTGTCGGGCAGTCTGTGATATCATGGCTATAGGGGACTCTGCAGACTCTACAGGGTTCAGCCTCCTCATCAGTCTGTTGTTAAAACTCCGACCAAATAGTTTGTCACAGCCCCTCGTTTGGTGTCCTCTTCTCCCTCCATCTTGCTTTGGTTCTCTCTCTCTCTCTCTCTCTCTCTCTCTCTCTCTCTCTCTCTCTCTCTCCCCCCCCCTTTTTTCGCCCCCTTTAGGATGATGACGTCGGTGAGGACCGTGAGGTATCGCTCACAAACTGACCGGCCTCGGTGAACTGCGCAAGGATGGCACGCATAAATCGAGAAATGGTCCAATTTTTTATTAAAAAAAAAAAAAAAAAGGACTCGTACTCAGGTCCTTTTACCAACAGCAAGTACATGAGGGGGGAAGGGCCCAAGGGGGGGACCACTGTTCCATTCAGCAACATGGGCTTGGTGATTACTCTCATTGTGAGAACCGGTCTTCTTGCGAGCATAAAGCACCCGAATAATGAATGAATACGACCCATCTTTCTCATCTGATACAGTCATGATGAGGGAGCGTTGCGCCGCGGGGCCCAGTTCCTAATTATCTATTGGACCTCATGGGAAATTACGCGGGGGTCACAAAAAGAGTTTGAATAGACTTGGGGGGGGGGGGGCAAAAAACGGTTCCAAATTGCACTTCGGGCTATGTATATACAAGCTAAGCTTTCCTGTCAGGTAGGGTTGCCTGGGGATGTGTTCTGCTCGGGGGTATCCCTGGGGCCAAGTCCCACTTACGCTGATCCTTGATTTCGGGTCGTTGATCTTCCAAATCTGCGGTCAGAAATAGATCATTTGGCTAAGTGGGACTTGGCCCCTGAAGTGGAATCTCAAACTGTTTTTTTGTGACTGTACTGAAATTCCCCCCCCCCTTTTTGTTTTCCTTTTTTTTTTTCTTCTTTTGTTATCCAACGAGAACATTCATCGCAACATTTGCGCCCAAGTCTATTCGGTCGGGATCCCCACAGTCTATTCGGTCGGCATCCGCACAGTCTATTCGGTGAGTACGTCATCGTTTCTTTTTCTTTTCCGTTTTTTTCTTCAAGTGCGGCCTGATGGACCCGGAATCGCATATTCACAACATATACGACACTTCTTGATGTTAACTTAGCCAAAAGGGCGAGAAAGGTAATGTACCTGGTCGTTTCTTGGAGCGAAGAGACAGTGTTCGTCGTGACTTTTTTTTTTCTTTTTTTTTTTTTGTCGTGACTTGTTTTACGAGCTACAGATACTTTTTTTATTATCAAATAAAAAGGTCAGTGTTCCTTTATCAAAAAAGGGGCGCAGTCCTTCGGGAAATCCGTTAAAATTGGAACGATACAGAGAAAGAGAAGATTAGCATGGATGGCCCCTGCGCTTTCAAGGATGGCACGCATAAATCGAGAAATAGTCCAAATTACGCAATAACAAATAGAAGAAGAAGAAGAAGAAGAAGAAGAAGAAGAAGAAGAAAGAAGTTCAGTATTTTCACTTTTTCGAATCGGAGGGTATAACTTCGCTGTCTCTTATACACATCTAGATGTGTATAAGAGACAGGGGGGGTTCTTTTTAATGCGTGTCATCCTTGCGCAGGGGCCATGCTAATTTTCTTTAAAAAAAAAAAAAAAAAAAAAAAACTTCTCTGTATCGTTCCAATTTTAACGGATGTCCCGAGGGACAGGGGGGGGGGTTGGTCTTTTCATTTCCTTTTTTTTTGTTTTTTGGTATAAATATACTGATGTATAATCGTAACGCACGCAGAGTGGGTTTCTAACGATTCCCCGAGCGGTTGTGCTCACTTCTGTTTGGACGGTGCTACTACAGCTCTGTGTTGCGATCGCGATCAAGCGGTGGCTGAGCTTATCCAGTACACGGCGTATCCGACGTGGCAAGAACGGCGCGCAATGGTGGAAGCAGCCGTGACGGGCTGCCGTCGGGACATAATCGGATTGGTGAAGAGCAGAACGAGGGGAGATTTCCAGAAAGGTTTGCTGGCGTTGCTCGAACCCGCGCCGATCCGCGACGCGGAATGGATTCACAAGTCGGTATCCGGATTCAATTTGCTGACAAGGAAAGCGATGGCGAGAGAGGTTCTCTGCACCCGGACTCCCGCCGAACTGCGCGCCATTGCCGGCGCTTATCGCTTCAGATATCGAGGGGATATGGTCGATGACGTGGTTGGCGCCTTTTTCGGGAAAGAGCGGGAGTTGTTTCGCCGATTACTGACCGTCGATCGAGTCCTACAGGCCGATCACGCCGCAGCAGCAGATCGGGATCGCGCTCGCACACTAGCGCAAGCCCTTTACGAAGCCGGGCCTGCAAGATGGGGTACGGACGAAGGTACGTACATCCAGATCCTGACCACCGAAAGTCCCGACGCACTCAGGGCCGTGTTTCGCGAGTTCGAGGCGTTGTACGGACAGAATCTGCTCGCCGTGATGGATAAGGAGTTCAGTGGAAGCTTCGAGAAAGACATGCTGACGCTCAGCAAATTTCTGATCGACCCTCCAAGGGCGTTCGCCGACATTATCCGCAAGGCGCTGACGGGGGTTCGAACCGACGAAGAAGACTTGATAAGAGCGATCATTGCCCGGAAGGACATCGATCTGCGAGAGATCATGGAGGTATATGAGGCACAGGGTGGGTCGCTGATGGAGGACGTGGAGTCGAAAACCAGAGGGGAGTTCCGCAGCCTGCTTATGGCGGTGATCGCCAGCGTGGCATGAGAAAAGGCGGGAGTGGAATCTGGAGAGAGGAGAGGGGAGGAGAGGGGAGGAGAGGGAGGCGGAGGGGAAGAACTTCGGAGAAGGGGAGGGGGGGAGATTTGGAAAAGGAAGGAAAAGGAGGATGGATTATCAACTGGAAGAAAAAAGGATGACGGATGATAAAGGGTGGCTTAATTGGGCTGGCGGTGGGGGGCTATGTGACCGTTTGAACGCACTGAAGGCGCGTTCAAACGTCCGGGGGCGCGTTCAAACGCGGTATGCGCCACGTGCGAATTTGTTGAACACAACCCACCCATAGGCATGCGCGCATGGCCGACTAAGGGTGGGGGATTTGGTTCCTTAAAAAAAAAAAAAAAGTGTGGCAGTGTATATTTCCATGTTCTAGCCGTAGATTCATTCCATTTTGCTCATCCTATAGATGGAGGTACCATGAGAACGGCCGCGCGGTTGGAGTCTTACCTGCTCTCTCTCTCTCTCTCTCTCTCTCTCTCTCTCTCTCTCTCTCACACACACACACACACACACCGGGCAGTGTATACTTCCATGTCTAGCGGAAGATTCATTCGATTTTGCTCATCCAACGGATGGAAGTAGGGTAACCTATGGAAATAGGGTAAGACCAGCCGCACCGTTGGAGACTTACCTGATCTCCTCTCTCTCTCTCTCTCTCTCTCTCTCTCTCTCTCACACACACACACACACACACACACACACCCACCCGGCAGTGTATATTTCCATTTCATCTACCGGTTGTTTGTCGAGTGTAGCCCTGTAACGAAAACGCTGGAGGGCCGTTCGAGCCGCCCTCAGTCGTTCGTTCCTTTTTTTTTTCTTTTGGCGTTTGCCACTTTTTGGAGTTCCCCCCCCCCCTGGGCGCGCACTCCATCTAGGCTCAGGAGGGTTGTCGGGAGCCGCTACCCCGACGCAACGCCCTGACAGGCCTCCCCTTCAAGGTTGACTCTCTGCACGTTCGCGTTCAGAGTGTTTACCCGCGTACTTTCAACGCGGTCAACAACCGAACGTGGAATGCGCGTTCAATGAACGCGCGGCAACACAGGTGGGGGGGGCAAGAGGGGCGAAGAGGAGGGAAGACGGGGGCAGGAGGGGGAGAGTAATATGAATAGAATCAGGAGGAGGACGGCCCTGTTCACTCAACTGCACTCAGGGGGGGATCCGTTAGCTTCTGAAATGTGAGGCTTGCTGCTGTGCATTATGGGAGGCTGGACTTTGATTGCCGGTAGACTGGGCAGTGGGATTTTTTTTTTTTTTTTTTTTTTTTTTTTCGGGGGAGAGGGGGGAGCAACGGCTTCTAAAATTTGGGGGGGAACAGAAATAAATTGCCGTTCATCCTGACATTGAATTTCGAGCTTCAAAACATGTAGAGCGGATGAAGTTGGAGGGGGCAAATAGAAGAAGCCTACGATAAAGCCTTAAGCTAGCTGTTACCTCAGATCAAGAATGAGTTTTTCAGAACCGTTACGCTCACTGGCTGCTAGTTAGGGCCTCGCCACACCAATGTCGAAACTGGAGTTTTCGACATTTTTCCTCCCCCCCCACACACAGGCTGTTGAAGAAACAATGTCCAATCGAAAACACTTCGACAATCGTCAGAGAACAGAGAAGTGGTTTCAACATGGGTGTAGAACGGCCCGCCCACCTGCAGTGGGTCGAGCTTCAACATGATCTCGGAACGGACGTTGTGAAGGATGTGTGCGGATTTCTTTCGACATCTATCAGGGACCAGGTACTGGGGTTGCTGCCATAGCATCCCGTGTCTTCTTCTTCTTCGGTTCAGGTACTGGGGTTGCTGCCTCAGCATCCCGTGTCTTCTTCTTCTTCTTCTTTTTGCCCTTTTCTAACAACGAAACTTTGCGTATTCTGGGTCTTGGACATACGGAGTGGCAAAGGCGGCCTTTGTGTCGAAACCGTGAATGTTGAAAATGGTCTGACAGTTGACGATTATTTCACGGGTTCGCCACACTGGTGTGGCGAGGACCTTAGAGGGGGGGGGGTTCCCTTTTTTTTTTTTTTTTTTTGTGAATGAAAGGCCCGAGGTAGTGCTGATAAGAGAAGGCACCACTGGGGATTTATTTATTTATTTTTTTCGTTTTTTTTTTTTTGGCTTGTTATAGGTTCTTATGGGCCTTGCTGCACTACTCTCCACATGCACAAAAGACAAAAAAAATATCTTTCCATGTTCTCCAAGAGAATTCATTCTCATTTTGCACATTTGGAGAGTAGTGCAGCAAAGGCCCTATGTCTTTGTGATGATGATGATGGAACTGCTGTACGAAGCAGAGAGAGGGTAGAATAAAAAAAAATTAAGGTGAAGAAGGGTATTCTGTGGATAAGATCTTATCCACCGTGCAGAACTGTTTTTCTGTGTTGCGGCCACAACGTTCTGGAGGGAGCAGTTTTTGGAGGTCAGTTTTGGGCTGGTTAATAAGGAAGGGGGTATCTTGATGAAAATATCCAGTCCTCGCTCTTTTGCCAGATCGAGAAAAAAGAAATAAAAAACGATCTTCTCCATCCTACCCCTTAAGCGCGGTGGGCCCGCGGGGGGGAGGTCGTGTTCCGCTGCGCGCCGGAATCGGGCCGAACTTTTGATTCGGCCCGGCGGATGAAGGCGATCAAGGACGGGGGTGCGCGCAGAGCGGTGCACGTACCCGATTGTTCACAGCGCGCTGGCAAACGAGAGAGCGCGCCCACAGGGGCCGAGAGGCGGCGGGCGTCGATTCGAGTGAATATCTCGAAGGGGCCGCCGTCGGATTGCAGGAAAAAGAGAAATTGCAGGAAAAAGAGAAAAAGAGAAAAAAAAGAGAAAGAAAAGAGAAAAAAAAGAGAAAAAGAGAAAAAGAGAAAAAGTGAATATCTCGAATGTCTTTTTTTTTTTTTTCCCCTTTATCTGGAAGGGCCCGCCGTTGGATTGCAGGAAAAAGAGAAAAAGAGAAAAAAAAGAAAAGAGAAAAAAAAAGAAAAGAGAAAAAAAAGAGAAAAAAAAGAAAAGAGAAAAAAAGAGAAAAAAAGAGAAAAAACAAAACAAAACAAAACAAAACAAAAAGTTGCGTGGCGGGTCCGAAAAAGAGAAGAAATGAAAATGAAATTGAAAATGAAATTGAAAATGAAATTGAAAAAAAAAAAAACTTGCGTCGGTCCGAACGAAAAACAAAACGAATAAAGACAAAATCAAAAAAAGATGACAAAAAACAGGGCATCGCGACAGCACATGCGAAATGTGAAAACGTGGCGGGTAGATTTGGCCATGTTCTAGGGGGAAGTTCATTCTCATTTTGCAGATTTCGCGTGTGGTACAAACAGACAGATGAGACAAAGTTTGCCCATGTGTGTATGTGTGTGCGCATGTGTCAGAGAAAGAGGGGGAAAGATCTGTGTTTGTGTGTGTGTGCACGAGTGGGAGTGCGGCCAAGAGTGTGTATGTGTGTGCTCGTGGGTGTGGCAGAGGGAGAGTACAGCCAACACTCTGCCATCGCCAGTGGCACGAGCCGAGACAAGGGTGCGCCGTGTAGCTATGGCGCGCACGTGTTTCAAAAAAAAAAAAAGGAAAAAAAAAAAGGAGGTTTGGTTGTGTCTCTGTATCCCTCGCTTCCTCCTGTTGTTCCGTCTTTCTGTGTGTGTGTGTGTGCCTCTCTCTCTCTCTCTCTCTCTCTCTCTCT